CGGGATGGGATTATTGCTGGAGATGCACATGCCATTTGCCACGTGTGCGTCGACGAGCAGACGCGCTCTCGCTACGTGCCGCGTGTGTTGCATGCACGCAACACCTGAAAAAAAAAGCCTTTGCTGTTGGGTTGGTGCTTGGTGTGTAGGGTAGCATTGCGTGTCGGTGCGTATGTGAGCAGACGGTGCTGCAGTGAGTGTGTGTAAGCGTACGCAGTCTATATGTGCACGGAAAGTGAACAGATGCTGTAAATCCTGCTGAAGAAGGGCTGGACTGGTAGAAACTGCTAGTGCATGACTTAACCCACTACGGCAAAGAGTAAGGAGAGGGAAACCAGACCGACTTGTGGCAACGAGGATTTTGGCTTAGTATTTATTAGTATAAAAGCTTCTAGACTACCCCCATGATAACCACACTCGGGCCGTCCATGGTGTGTGCATCCCAGCCTTACGGGATCGTCGGCAGCACCTTTCCCAAGGAGCATGGGACAATCTGACCCCGGTTTTCCCTTCGCTCAGGAATTGATGGCCAAACTTCTATTGCCACCAGACCATAAACATCATCGGAAAGTCTGTGAGAGCAGTGGGACTGTGCCTGAATGGGATTGAGTTGTTCGCAGCCCGGCCTTTAATTAATCCTAATAAATAACAATAAAATGTGATAATCACAGAAATAAATCTGAGATGTGAAGCTCCTGCCTCCGGCGACGGTCTAGTTTAGTTGATCATTTATAGCACAGCTGATGGTGCAGAGGCTGGAAGGTGCCTCCTGGGACATGAGATGCTGGGGACAAGGCAGGGCCGGATCAGCTTGTCTCCTTGCCCAGCCTCAGTGGGAGGCTTTTGCACCCAGTTTTAAACCTCAGCCTAGTTCCTGCAAGCTGATTTCCAGCTTGGTCTAGCCCGTAGCAGAGACAAAACGCTTCAAAATCCAGAGGGATCTGGGAACTGCTGAGTTAGACTTGGGAAAAAAAAGATAAAACATCTAGGGATGCTTGATGGTGGGTCGGTGTCGTGGCACAACGCGTGTGAAACTCCATCAGGTGGCTGGGGAAGGCGGTTTCTCTAGGGTGGGCACGCTGTGAGAAAGAGAAGCGAGCCCGGGGGGGGGTCAGCTTGGGCACAGCCCTGGGTTGGGCCACCAGGTTTGCTGGGGTGAGCCAGGCTTAGCCCCGTCCCTGCCTCCCCGCGATGGAGCTTGTACCCTGATAATTGCAATGAAAGCGGCAATCAGGTTGGTAATTTCGCTGAGCTCTTTTCAGTTCTAATTAACATTATTCATTTCTTGTGTGTCCTGCTGGGTTGAGACAATCTGTGCTCTCCAGCCCAGCCCGCTGGAACACCAGCGATCTGCATAAGAGGCAACAAAAAAGTGTTGTGTGCCAATTACTACACTTCAGTAATTAAAAACCTCCTTCCCCCCACTGCCGGGCCACCTCCTCTCCCGTCATTTTCTGTGTGCAAACTCGCAAAAGCAAAGAGAGAAATTCAGGAGGGCATGTCATCGCTGGCATGTGCCATCTGTGTCTGCGCCAAAAACGCAGGGAGGTACCGGGGGCTGTATGAAGCGTGGGCAGGATCAGTGGTCAGGGCGCTCAGCCGTGGCACCCTGTTGCTTATTTATTCCTGATACTCGATTGTGGCGGCTGCAGTTTGGTCGTGGGCTTATTGGGAGCGGGTCTATGTCTGCAAAGCAGCGTGCTCCCCTCCGGCCAGGGCTGGTTGGTCCCCACCGAGGGCTTTGTTGGCATTTGCAGCCCTGCTCGTCTTTGTGCTTGTGTTACCCGAGGTGGCAGAAAGCTTACGGGGTTGCTTTCCCTCTTCCAATTTCTGTCTTTAATTGGTGTCCCTGCAGCCAGGCAGGCTGTTGGCTGCACCCCTGGGCCCCTCGCACGGGGTGCGGAGGGTCCAGGCACGAGGACTTCGACCGTACGAGCTCAGCCCCTCAGGCTGCGGGGATGCCGGCTGGTTTGGGGGAGAGCAGCCAGTCCCTAATGGACCGGCTTGCTTGTGGAGAGCGGATAGCAAAGCCAAGGAGCTTTGGCCGCGGGAAACGTTAACGGGTCGGGAAAGGGCAGCACCAGCCCGCGCCTGTGTCCCCTTTGTGCCCACCATGCGTCGTTGACTGGGGAGTGTGGGGCAAGGGCATGAGCGGGTTGGGACAGGTAGGGAAGATGTACGCGCACAGCTCTCACCTTTGGTCGGCGCATGCAAACTGTCTTAAAATGCCCAAACGCCGTCGCTTGTGGTCATTTTGAGGCGCCCTCAGTGGCAGCAGGGAGCAGGGGGTCTGGTGCAGAGTGAGGAGTTACCTCTGCAAACCATCGCTCCCTACCCCCAGGATGACACAGCAGTGGTGTGTTAACAGCGTTTCCACCTCCCGGAGGAGAAGCCCTGAGGCTCGGGGCTCTGGGTTTAGAGGGAAAGAAACAGCAGAGAGAGGGAACAGCATCGTCGTCTCCTTGTGCTGACAGACAGCAGTTTTTCACCTTTCTGGAGGAGAAGGCCTTGCCTTCTGAGCAGGAACATAACCAGGATTAAGGATCCTGAGCGAGAAAATTACCTCATCTGTGCTTAATTATTTTTACATCTTCTTTTTGGAGGCGAGCGCTGTTTTCCGGCACCCCGGGGACCTCTCTCCCCCCTCCCTCCCTGGCACATCATGGGCCGAGAGGGAGGGTGAGAGCCTCCAGCGAGGTAGAAGAAGCATCTCGGGGGCTTTGCACCTCGCCAGGAGCAGGGTGGAAAAGGAGGAGGCTACAGGCTCGGCGGTGGCTTTGCTCTCCACCTGCGCTTGGAGCCTGGCTTCCCGGCCGAAGCCAAAGGTTTTCCGCTCGGCTGCTCGCGTGCGGGAGAGGAGGGCTTCCCATCGCTGCGCCGGGCTTCTGGAGAGAGGAGCTGCTGGAGGAGGGAAAGGGGCAGCAGATGGAGGGGCTGGAAGAGCATCGGGTCGCTGCAGCGAGCCTCGGCTGCGGGGACCCCGACCGGCGCTTGCACGAGGAGGACCGGGGCTCAGCACGGCGGGTTGGAAGGAGCGTGACCCGCCGGCCCCTAAATAGCACGCTGTATCCAGAGGTCAAAGTGCATCTTTCCCAGGAGCTGTTTCTGCGCTTTATTATATATATATTGCCTCAGGAGCTTTAGGAGGTAAGGAAGAAAATAAAATAAAATAGCAACTTTAAGCTTGCCGATCCCAGGGACAGAGAAGCGTGTCTAGGTGATAAGAAGAGTTTGTGACCGAGTGCTGTGAAGGGCGAAAGCACTTATTTCACTGTTGCCTCATGCATTACCTGAGCCCCGTTGCTTTTCAAAAGCACTTAAATGCCCATATGATAGAGGGAATGCTTGGACTGCACACTGTCTGCCTCCATTATTATCCAGGGATCTCTAAGCTGATGCATTTCACAAAAAAACTGGCGTGGAGGAGGAGAGAGGAAATATATATTTTTAGTTCAGCCTGCTTACAGGTCCTCAAGGATAATCTCTGCAGAAAAGACCGGTCCGAGAAATTCAAGCCACGTCTGGCTTCTCGTCACCCAGTCCTTCTCTACGATACGGCTTTGGCAGCGAGGGTGGACACCCCTGTGTTCGTTCAGAAGTGCCGCTCGCTGCAACCGCGGGAGCCTATTTCATGGCATTGCAACGGGCAGGCCAGAGCCAAGCACCAAATATCCACCTGCATTTTATTCGAGCCCCATAGGTAGCAGAGCTGATGTTCCAAGTATGATACACTAAAACCATCCTCTGGGAAGAAATCTCAAGTTTTGTTCAACTTGAGCAACTGAACTCTCAGGTTTTGCTCAAGCTGTAATGCAGCTGAGAGCAAGAGCCAAGTTCTTGGTGTTCAGCCCAGGCTGAATCTATTGCGCTTTTTTATGTAGATAATAAAAATCTGCTCACATTTAATTTATTATTATCGTAATATCATTATGGAACAGCAGTAAAATTGTTTAATTTATCGGATGTTTTTCACACCAGAAAGGAGGATGGTGCAGTAGCTTGGGTACTTGCCTAGCAAATCAGCAGGGGAGTCCTGAGCTGCAGACTACTCGTCTCGCCTTGGGCACGTCACCTCACGGTCATCCCTAACCTCCAGATGTTGTGTGTTGAGGCTGAGTGGGTCCTTTAGGCTTCTCCTGTAACGACTGGGGCCAAAGAGATACCTCCAAAAAGAGGCTAGATGAGACAGCTTGACCCGGGTGGGTACCTGTGTCTTCGCTGGCATCAGTAGCAGACATGGGAAGAGAAGTCGCCCGCCGGTAAGGAGACGGCTCACCCTGGGAAAAGGACACAATCCCTGAAGTGTCAGGATGAGTCCACACGCCACAGATACATTCCTCCTTGCCATTTACTCCCCTGCTAGCGCAGTCTGGCATGTATAGCTCATTGAGCCCCTTGCATCCGCTGAGGTTCCCCCGTGTGAAACCTCCCAGAGGCTGCCGTGCTCTTTTTCAGTGCCTCCGAAGTTAATTTGCATCCCAGCCGCTGCACAAGTAATGAAGTAGATTGGGGAGAATATAAACAGTGGATCTTAGCCTGAGAGGTTTTATGCAGGGACATTATCCTCCATCGCCGGCATCCAGCAAAGCGTGGCTAAGTCCTAACAGCTCCGCAATAGCAAACTTGCTCGGAGAGAAGCAGGGTTTTAGCTGGCTTGGGTGGCTGCAGGTTTCTGCTGCCTAGGGAAGGGCTTGGACAGCGGGCAGCCTCTAGGCCCTCTCCTCTTTGCTCATCTGGAGACAATTCGTTTGAAATGGAGCATTCAAACCTTGCTTGGGGATGCGGGGATGGAGCAAAACCGGCCCCCGCTAACGTGGACAGGAAAATAGCGTCCTCCAGGAGCAAAGTCTCAGAAGAGAAGAGGTTTGCACTGTGTTGTCTTCTGGGGGGGCTCAGTTTGTAAATGAGGCTGGATACGGAAGATTTCTACCTCCAAAACATCACTCGATAAGTGGAATGCTTAGCAGGGCTAAGGTGCAGTAAGTGAGGGAGACGCAGCGATGCAGATGATGCGCAGGGAAGGAAGAGCTGACAGAAGGGACAAATGGTAGGAAGCTCAAGGTTTCTCTTTAGAGGTGTGTCAGAGCTGGTTTTCTCCTGAGATAAATTTTCCTCGCTCCTTTGTGAAGCAGTTCAAGCTGCTTTCCCGGCTTCACTTTGCATTTCTTTGCCTGGCTGCAGGGATATGAAGGTCTGCGGAGAGAATGACAAGTGATGGGTTTGGGCAGGAGGTAGCAACCTGCATCCTCCCAAAAAAAACTGTGGTTTGGACTCAGGATGGAGGTTTTGGCTTGGCTCTGGTTGTCTCTGAGTTTGCAAAGGAGCAAATGGGAATGGAGGAGCAAAAGGTCCTTTGGTGACTGGTGCCAGGTGGCTCTGACCTCCCTACATCTGAAATCGTTGTGAAGGTCTTGGAAAAATCTCTGGTGCCACCCGTTTAGATGGATATTGGTGCCCTGAGCACTGCAGGTAAAGCGCTGACATTGTCCTCTTTGGACACTGAAGGCACTTGGTCTCTGCAACCGCTGCTGGCAGCAAAGCTAAAAATAGTGCCAGGAGGACCGGGGGGGCTGCAAAGGGGGAGCGGAGTGCCCAAAACGAGCGTGCTGACGGGTCATCTTTCTGCCTCTCCCCAGGTGCTCCGTGGACAACCGAGTCACCCGAGTGGCCTGGCTGAACCGCAGCAGCATCCTCTATGCCGGCAATGACAAGTGGTGCTTGGACCCTCGGGTGGTGCTCTTGGCCAACACCAAAACCCAGTACAGCATCCAGATCCAAGATGTGGACGTGTACGATGAGGGCCCCTACACCTGCTCCGTGCAGACAGACAATCACCCCAAGACATCGCGTGTCCATCTCATCGTGCAAGGTAAGAGGAAGGGAATTTGTAGAAGGGTTGGGCTCGGTGCTTTGATTTCTGTGCCTCCCTTTCGCCCTATGTCTTCTCCTACGTCGAGCTTGTAAGACAACTTGGTGCAAATGTAGAGGCTGATCAACAGGTTTGGAGAGTCCCAGTGAAGCTGGGCAATGCATTTATCCAACTTTCTTGGAGTAGTCATGGGGCTCTGATCCAGGCCAGCTCTGCCTCCCAAAGTAGTCACTGGCAAACCCATGTTGCTGTTTGTTGTTGTTCTTGCATTTTGATGGGGTTTTTTGTTTTCCATGCTGGAGGCAATGCTTGAAGTCAAACTTGTGTTGGGGGAAAAGAGAGAGCTGGCAGATTTGTGTACTTTGCGGGGGTGTGTGTATGCCTACCAACAATATGTGTTTGTGTGTTGAAACACTGTACTTCTGTGAGGAGGAGGAGGAGGAGGAAGGCCGGCATGGGGTGGCGGAGCGAGGCTGCGCGGTCCGTGGGGTGCGTACGTGCGCTCTTCAGGAGGCGTACAGGCACACGTGGGCTCTCGAGAGGGGACATACGAGCCTGGCCACACGCGATGGTCAAGCAGATGGGTGTTCATGCAAGATAGCTCCCGTGTCCGTGCTGCAGGACTTGGGGGGGACGTGCGCTGGGCAAGGGGGAGCCTGCGTGGTGGGACATACGGGGCCCACTGCGCTCTTAGGGAGGCAGTCTCGGGGAAGATTAATGGAAACTGTCTAATCCCTTGCTAGCAACCTTTTTTCCTTCTTCTGTGATTTGGCCAGGAGCCCTTTTAGCATGACATACCAGCTTGAGTATCGGAATCTCGTCTCGGGCTAATTTTCGAATGCTGATGGGTGTATTGATTTGGAAACAAGCTGGGTTAAAAAGGCATTGGTCTTGTACACAGAGTCGGGTTGAGCTAATCCACCGTCGATATGCCAGGCCTGAGCGTTATTGACAGCCTAATGAATAGAAGGGGGGGAAAAAACCCCAACTCAGGGCCTTTATTTCCCCCCTCCCTCCCTTCCCGTTTTCTCTTTTCTCTTCGAGCAATCGAGCAAACTAAACAGAGCCGGACTTTCTCCATCTCCATTAACAGCGGAGAGAAAGCGGATGCATTGCCAGCCCGGGTCCTTGCTGTTTATCTTGCAATCTGTTATTACCTGCCTGAGTTTCTTAAGCCAAAGTCGATCACGCGCAAGTTCTGAAGTCGCTATCAGACGCTGGGGTGACGCAGGACAATTTCTATCTCTTCTCTTCTGCTTCCCGTTTCCTCACCTAAATTTCCTGTATCACCAGGCATCCAAGTCCATCCCTCCTGTGCCTTGCTATATCATTAGGAAGAGATGTTTGGGTACTGGAGGAAAAGGTCGTATCTTAACTCCTTGCAGCGGTACAGTTAAGTACTGGGGGATTCGGTGATGAGCTCAATCCTATAACTGCTGAATATCCTCACCGCTGCTGATAGAAATACCAGCTCTCAGGAGCAGGCCCCCTAATTTCAAGAGCTATTACTTGGCTCACCCAGCCCTTTCTTGGGTGGAAGGTGGCAAGAGCGTAACGCGCAGCAAGACGCTGGAGCGGGACGTGAAAGTGAATATTGTGTCCAATTAAAGGGAAGCCTGCCGTAATGATCCCGATTAAAATTTGGCTGGGGTGCCAGGATTGACTCTCCCGCCTTGGAAAATGGACCCAATAAATACGCAAGCCAGTATAATCCTGTCCTAAATGATGTCCAACTTGTGGGAAGCAGCGCTAACCCCTCCCTCCCAGGAAAGCAGGGTGTCCAAGAGCCAGATTTGAGGGATGTGCCAAGTTGAGCGCGTGGCTGTGGGTCCTCTTGCCCCTTCCTGCAGCCTGATAGGAAAGGAGAAGCGGTGAGAGGAGGTGGGAGAGGGGGGTCTCCCCTTTTAAACAGGGTTAGTCCAGGTGCAGCCAGAAAGGGAGAGGTGTGCAGGTTGCTCTAAGCAGGTCCTGACTTTCCCCTTGCTGCACAAGGAAAGGGCCTGGGGCGCAGCTCTGGAGGCAGGAGTACCCCAGCCTCTGAGGATGCAATTAAATCGTGCCCCCGGGGCAGGCTGCACTCTCCAAAGGGACTGGCCGTGGTGGGCTATGAGCTCTTCCCATTCCAGCCGGGATGTCAGCAGCCTGCTGCTCCCCTCGGCAGGCGTGACGGGTGCTTATCAGCTAGGGTCCGAGCGCCCTCAGCCCACGCCGTGCATCCCTCCTTCTCCCCAGGTTTAGGGGATATCACTGGGAAACGGCCGCGGACGGAGGGAGCGAGGAGCTGGGGCATCGCTGGTGTCTGCCAAGGGCTGCTGGAGGAGGCGGTGGTATGGGGGAAAAGAGCAAAAACCAGAAGAGGGATGGGGGTGAGAGAAGGAGCTTCCTTTAGGGTATGAGGGTTGGGGATGGTCCCCCAAGGCAGCGGGAGAGAATCGGCTAGAAACCACTGGGAACCAAGGATGTCCACGCTGCAGCCAGGGAAGCGCTGTACGTTTATTTCTAGGTTGACTGTATTGATGGCTGAGATCCCAAAATAGGTGGGTAGAAGGCACCTCAAGAGCTAATTTAGCCCATCCCCCTGCAACGAGGCAGAGACATCGCTGGCAAACACGTTTGAAAGCTATTCTTGAAAATCTTTAACAAAGCAGGTTCTTCAGTCTCCCTAGACGATCTATTCTACTGCTTCGCTACCTTTATAATTAGAAAATGTATAGCTAATATCTAACTTAAACCTTCTTTGTTGCAAATGAAGTGGAGTTTTTCTCAGCCTATCCCCAGCGGATGTGGGGAACAATTGATCAATGTCCTCTTTGTAACAACCTTTTGCTTTTGGGAAGGTTGTTATCGTGTTGCCCCTTAGCCACCTTCTTTCTGAAATGATGCAAGCCCCATTTCTCCTACCTTTCCTCATCGGTCAGGCTTTCAGAAACGCTTGTCAGTCTTGAAATCCTGCTACAAAAGGCAAAAGGTGATCGCTGCCGATCCAGGAATAGCAGGTCGGTGCATCTCTCCTTCCCGCTGCCTCTGTGCTAATGTGGGACAAATGAGCCCGGGAAGGAGCCGACAGACCCTTGGCATTGAATGCATCAAAGTTCAGACCTGCTATTTCGGGGACTGCTTTAAATGAGGTCAGGCTGGGTGTTGGTAATGCCAAGTTGATGTGAGCCAACAACATAGCTGCAAAACATACAAGGAGGTTCCCGGCACCTGGATCTCCCCAGGAAAGAAGCTCCCAGACTACAGCTGGACCTAAAATAAACAGCTCAGGGAGCGTCCATGTCAATCGGCAGCATCTGGAAGGTGGTCCCTGCCTGTCCCGCTCACTCAGCCCTCATTTCTTCTTAGGAGGAGTTGCCGTAAGACCAGACAAAGCACGGGGAAGCAGCGCTGCCCGCGTTTGCAGGAGTCTGCCTTGGACCCTGGGAAGAGCGAGGTGTTTCTGGGTGAAAATCCCTAAGAGGCAAAATCTAGGGAAGCCCCACTTGCCGCAGGCGAGGTCTGAACTTGGAGGGACGCAGAAACCCAGAGCGAGAAGGAGGATTTGGGCCCCGTTGACCTCTGAGGAGCGATGCTTTCCCTTCCTCTCCTCTCCTGTATCCCACTCTGGTTTCCTTAGCAAGTCCCACTTCTTGCCCCTGCAGCAGCATCGCAGGCGCAGCCTCCCCCTTCTCCCCGCAGGACACTTCAAGCTATTTGAGCTGTTCTCTGGGTTCCTGGGTTTAAAAGAGAGAGGCGAGGCAGGAGGAGGAGGAGGACGGTGTCTGGAAAGCTCTTATTTGTATTGATAATAAGCCGTCTCCAATGCGCGCCTGCAAAACACTCCCACTGCCTTGTAAGATGCATTAAGGAAAGTTGGCCTTATCTCGGCGCGGGAAATGGACTTGGGGAAGGAGGCACAGAGCCTGCCAGAGTTTAATCTCACTTAGGCACACAAATTTGCATGATAGAAAATGGTGGAATTTTAGTGCTTAGAAAGAAAGAAAGAGAAGAAAAAAAAAAAAAAAGGCAGGCAACTGGGGGATATTAGCGCTTTCCCGCTTCTTTATCAGTTTCCTTGGCCCTATCTGGCTCTTTCTGTTGTCACTGAAGCAACTAATCACCCCTCCCCTTTTGTTTGGTGTAAATGAGTTTTCCCACTCCTTCCCGGGCCCGGGTTAATCTGCAAATCCCTGCCTTTGTTTGGGAGTTAATTACCTGCTCGCCAGAGTCGGGGGGCTGCGGGCACAGGTGGCACAGGGCCGCCCCGGTGGCGGGGGGCACACGTGGCGTGCCAGTGGCACCTCGCTCGGCGCCGAGGCCGCCCCGGGAGCATCGCTGCCAAGGTGTGCGCCGGCGAGATAAAGCCACCGGTGGGGTTGCGGCGCCCGAGCCGGCTTTGTTTCAAGCGCCCAACTCTGCCCAATTAATTTTCCTTTGATGCCATAAGCCCCTTTCACTCGTGGGAGCATACGGATAACTTTTTGCGGCCGCTTTTCTGCCTTACGCCAGGATGCGTGGGAAACGCCTGCCCTGCCGAATGGAGGGGCAGCGGTTCGCGTGGCGGCACAGGCTGAGAAGGAAGGATCGGTCCCCGCAGTCGTCATCACTCTTGTCGAAAAGACCTCAAGGTGGCTTGCAGGGAAAACAGAGTAGGTGGGTGGGAATGCGTTGCTTGTGCCTGGCTTTTTTTTTTTTTTTTTTTTTGGCTGGAGATGCTCGGAGCGTTCCTGACCAGTCCGTGGGGCTGAGCCTGTCCCCTGCACCACCAAAGCCACTGGTGCTGGGGGTGAGGAGGGGCAGAGGGATTTGCTCAGCGGCAGCGAGGGTGCATAGACGTTGGCCACGTATGAAGCCCCGGGCTGAGGTTTCACGCTGGGCAGGATGCTTCCCAGCAGAAACCACCGGAGCTGCTTCTGCAGTGGGTTTTTCTGGTGTGTCCGCACCATTTTTCCCCCGTGAGAGCAGCTGTCCTTTCTAGAAGCAAAAGCAGGTTTACATAATGCCTTCTAAAAGGCACGCGG